CTCTTCGGTTTCACGTACCTTAAGCGTCAGCCAAACCGCACCACTCGAAAATCCCAAAGCACGATGGGTTCTCCACCTCTGGGTTCTTTGTTAATGGGTTGCCTCCCAGGAGACGCCTTCCCCGGTCATCTCTCCACGCTCAGTCTTGCCTTTCATCAAGTCATAGCTCAAGTGCCACGGGCTTTTCAAAGCTGGCCCTGGCTTTTCCCGTGGGCCAGTCATCCTTGCTATCTCGGATTTCTTTAGTAGCACTTCATCTGCATTTGCTTAAGCCACGTGGCCTTCTTTCCTTCTATGATAATCACCTGCACGTATCTGATTCCTTTGACCGACGGCTTTTAAGGTCAGAAACAATGTCTTACCTCTCTCTCTGTAACCCTAGCGAACCCAGTATTCCACTGGGCTCGGTCTCTGCCTGGTGTCTCTCTGAGTGAGCATCTCTCAAAGAACATTAGGGCCTTCAACATGAGGAACACGCCCCCAAACCCTTCCTTCACTTCCCACATGACCTGAAGCCACCAAGAGCTCTACAACAAAACCCTAAGCTCTTTCTCTAGATCTAGTCCCCAGGCCTTTTATTTCCCTTCCCCAGCTTCCCTTAGTTCTCTCTCTTAGTTCTTAGGTAGATCAACGTAGTTTCTCCAGCTAAGACCTCTCTCCTTATCCTCCTTCTGTCTTGCAGAGTGGGATTTTCTTTATCTTATTTTTTTTTTTTAAAGATTTTTTTATTTGACAGGGAGACAGTGAGAGAGGGAACACAAACAGGGGGAGTGGGAGAGGGAGAAGCAGGCTTCCCGCGGAGCAGGGAGCCGGATGCGGGGCTCGATCCCAGGATCCTGGGATCATGACCTGAGCCGAAGGCAGACGCCTAACGACTGAGCCACCCAGGCGCCCCTGGTGCCTGGAAACTGGGAAGACTTTCATGTGGTAATATATCGTTTACCCCTCACACATGTATCTACTACAAAATGCCTGCTCCTAGGAGCCTCAAAGAATGCTCATGAGTGAATGAAGGATCAGGATAATCAGCTCACATTCATGATGAAGACCAAACTCTACTTCTCTGCTTCCCAGTATTTCATAGACCGAGCCACTGTAATGGGTTGCCTGGATTTGCTACAGCCTTCGAAGTCTGGTGTCCCTAGATCTTTAAAAAACGTACCTAATATCACTTCACTCCCCGGCTTGCAACCCTCCAGTGGTTTCCCTCCACATTATAACTGAATTCCAGCTCCTCACCCTGTCTTGTAAAGCCCGTCATGACCCTATGACCCAACCCCCGCCTACCCCAGACATCCCCTTGCGTGCCCTTCCCCCCTTGCTCGTCAGGTTCCCGCTGCCTGGAACTCTTTCCGTGCCTTTGCACCACTGTGTCCTCTGGCTGAGTGCTCTTACTCATGATCATCACAGGACCAACTCCTTCCTGTCCTTCAAACTTCACCATGTGTGTCACCTCCACCGAGGCCCTCCATGGCCTCCTGGTCTACAGCACCTTCCCCCAAAGACAACCTCATCCCCTTTCCTTGTTTTCCTTATGTTCTATTCAGCCCTATTCTATTGCTGCATGACACACTGGCCCCAAACTATTTATTATTAATGTATCTTGTAATTCTGTGGGCCAGGAAATCAAACAGGGCACGGTGGGTATGGCTCTTCTCTGTTCCATGGGGTCTGGAGCCTCAGCTGTGGGGACTATGATGGCTGGAGCTAGAAGAGCTGGGGGCTGGCTGAGCTCACTCGCTCCTGCTCACACAGGCTCTCTCTCTCCACCTTTATATGGCAGCTTGGGCTTCCTTCCAGCATGGTGGACTTGCATAACTGGACTTCTTATGTGGCAGCTCAGTCTCCCAAGAGACCAAGACAGAAGCTGCCAGTCTGCTCAGAAGGAACCATTTTGGGTCTTTCCCACCTTAGGGAGAAGACCCAGGTCAACTCAGGTTCAGAGGGAGGGAACAGAGACCTTATCCCTCGAGGAACGTAATGTCAAAGAATTCAAGGCCATCTCTAATATGCCAGAGCCACATTTTGGCAAGAAGACATTTTCTTATTAATTTCTTTGTTTACATGTGTAACTTGCTCATTGAGCAAATGGTGGGTATTAAAACAAACTAGTTTTTTTCTCTCATCATGGTTTCTAGATGAACTATGTTGATTGTCCTTTTCCTGTCTCCTAATAGCATTTTGGGGAGACTTCCTAATTTTCCTGTCACTTTAATTTGGGAAAGGTCCAGCCCCATCTAGGCTGCTCTGCCCAACTGAAGACCAATCCCCTTTGCTCCCCCAGGCAGGGCCTGGATTGGGCCCAAGGGAGTGGAGGTCACGGTCGGCCCTTGTACCCACCTTGCCCTCCCTACGGCTCCCTTCTGTTCTTTCACATGGGGTCAGGAAGGAGTGACTTGGGGAAATGACTACTTAGCTGTGGCCATGTCTTCTCCGGCTGTGAATGCAGCTACCATGATGGGCATCTGGAGGCCAACTCTGTTGTGGGGCACAACGCTGGGCACCCCACAGCACTGTTCCCTGATGTGCTCGCCTTCCAGCTCTATATGACAGCCCCCACTCAGTGATTGCCCCAACTCTCCACCCACAGCCCACAGCCTCCTCACCAGTGGGTTTTCCTCTCAGAAAAACGGGAGGGCAGCCTAGGGCCATTCACCTTCCACCCTGTCCCGCTGACCCATGGGAAACTCCTGCTGGCTGCCTCTCTCTCTGTCCTGTCATGCTTCTGTTCTCCACGCCCCCCCAGCCACCATCCAGCTAGCTAACACATGGGCTCATCTGTGCGGCAAATCCAGCCCCAGGGAGAGGAGGAGAAGGGGCCAGCAACCCAAATCTCCACTAACCTCCCTCTTCCCCCCTTTCCCCCCCCCAGTCTCTGCCTATGAAGACTGAGGAAAGGGGTGCTGGGTGGTAGCTGATGCTCACAAATACCAGCCATCTCATGATAAATCCTGTAGGCAGAGGCGTCCCACCCCAAACTGTTTCCCTCCGTTTTAGAGTGTGAGATACTCAAGACCCTTTTCCTTGGCCCTGAGTCCCGTCATTAATCTGAGCAATGGAAAAGTCCACCCAATATCTGACAACATATGGTCATAGTCTTTCTCTCCACTCAAATCTAAGATCCGTGAGAGCGGGGCTTTGCGTGCTTTATTCCCCACTGAATCCTTGGTGCCGGAGACAGTGTCAGGCACACAGGTGGTGCTCCACAAACATATAACGAGCAAATGAAGAGGGCTGTGTGAGACCTAAAGGGCACCCAATATGGGCACCCATTTGACAATGGACCAGTCAGTTCCCTTCTTGCTCCTTCCTGCTGTGAGCCTCACAGCCACCGATGCTGATTTTCACTTCCAGCCTCCAGGAGCTTCTCTGGTCTTTGTTTAGCTTTCTACAGGGGTTGCTGGCCTGGGAGGGGAGGCTGATGTCCAAGTGAGCGGCCCTGTGAGGCTGAGAGCCTTGGACATGCTACAGGGGCTGGGCTGGGGTCCCTGTAGCTGAGCCAGAGGCCTGACCGAGGGGAAGTGGTGCTCTTCCCAGCTTTCAGTCTTTCAAAGGCAGTAGCTCAGGATGGCTACAGCCCTAACGTGGAGAAGTAGGAGAGAAGTGCATTTCTCCTGCAAAGCATGTCCCCTGAGGCTGGCCCACACCTCCTCTGTGACTGGGCCAGAAGCACATTCTGACCAGAGCATCCTCCAGGGGGGCCCAGGCCTCCGTGAACAAGCTGCCAAGGGCAGCTGCCTCAGCAGGGCTGCTCCACCCCACCCTACCCCACCCCACCGCGCCCGACCTTCCCTGGCTTCCCTCCAGAGCCGGAGGCCAGCCCCTGCCCCCTGGGTCCCTGTGGGTTTGTCCTGAGCAGCCTCAGATGACAGAAATGGGGAAGTCCCCCGCCGGCAACACACACGACATAAACACACACGCGCGCCTTGCAGGTCACAGGCAGGTGGAAATCTGACAGTATGCGGTTTGGACTGAAAAAAGAAAAAGAAGGGAACTTTTTCTCATTTCATGCCAAGGTGTCCAGGAGGAAGGCAGAGGAAGATGGGAGGTAAAAAGAAGAAATCGGGCATCTGCAGATTCCCGCCCTCAGCCGCCCAAGTAGGCTGGGGGTGTTGCAGCTGGGACATCTCCTCCAAGGGCTGGGAGAAGCCCGGGAGCCCCCCTTCACTCAGGGTCCGGGGTGGGGGGGGCAGGCACTGGAGTTGCGTGGGGGGCGGGGCTTGGGGGCAGGGGAAGAGGAGTGTGCTCTTGAATTTGAGGCTGTTCCGGCTGCATGGGGCCAGGGGCCCTCACTTTGAGGCCAAGGTTACATCTTGGGAACCCCTCAGCACGGCAGGAGTGGAGCCCAGGCTTTTGCCCGAAGCAGCTGGGAAGGGACCACCGCAGGGCGCTGCGGGACCGGCCCTGAGCGCACCGCCCCTTTTCCGGCCCCGCTCCCGCGATCTGCTGTGCTCCGCAGATGCGCCGCCCCGCAAAGCCGTCTCCAGACTAGAATACTTTATTCAAGAGAATCTGGCTTGGCGGTCAGACGCAGTCAGGGGCAGCTGGCTCCACGTCCAGCCTCAATGGACAGGCCCCCTCTTTGCCTGTGTCCCTGAGAGGGGCAGGCGGTGATGCCTTGACCGTAAAGAACAATGTCCCAGCGCGAGCAGTGATAAGACGTGGAGAGAGACCTAGGGGACAAGCAGTGGCAGAGGCCCCCAGGCAACCGCCGGTCCCCAGAGCGGAGCTTTTGGCTCTGCAGGGAGTCCAGCTGCTGCCAGGCGAGGAAGACACCCCAGGGCTCCTCCACCTGCTGCCTGCCTCCCCCCCCCCCCCCCCCCCCCCCAGCCTGGGCCAGGGCTCCAGAGCAGGCCCGTCCACCCCTACGTCGGCCAGGAGCTCCCGAAGCCAGGGCTGCCTGTGCACGCGGAGCCCCAGGCCCGGGACCCGGCTGCCGTTCCCGCTCCCTTTCCCAGGGCAGGGAAACCCGCTGGGGCCCCGCTGGGCCCTCACGAAGCCGTAGGTCTTGCTTCTTCTCCAGCTGCAGCGCACGTGGGTCTGGGGCTGCCTTCTTTCTCTCACGTTCTGTTTAAGGCACTGAATTCCTGAGGGTCCTGTCCCTCCATGCCCCTCATTGTGGAGGGAGCAAGTCATTCAGCAGGGATACAATTGGCTAATAAATAGAGGGCAGGTGTCAGCAGGGAGGTAACTGAGTGTGGCCGTAATAAATACAGGAGCCGGGGGTGAGACGTCTCTCCTCTGAGGGGCCGGTTACCTCCGGGGAACAGTATGGCCGCACCTGCCAGAGACCAAACACAGAGAGGGGGGTATCAGCACCCTGTGAGGGTGAGGGTCCCTCCTATGGGAGGGGGGGGCCAACCTGGAGGGAAAGCTTGGACAGGGAACACAGGGAGATTGCAGCATTCCTGGGTCTCTGCTTGCACCGCAGCCAAGAAGCTAGGAGTTACTCTTCACCAAGCACTTACCCCGGTGCCCAGCCCCGTGCTAAGCACTTTTTCATTGCCCTTTAACAACTTCCTATGAGGAAGACCCTATTGTCACTTCCCTTCCGAAGACAAAAACAAAAACACCCCAAAACCAACTTAAGGCTCAGAGAGGTTAAGACACTTGCCCAAGGTCACACAGTTAGTCTGTCACAGAACCAACTTTGAACCCAGTCTGGGCTCCACGCAATAATGCCTCTGGTTACTCTAGGACAGCAGTCCCCTAACGGGGGGGGGGGTCTAGGCAACCCTAGATGTGCATGGAGATGGTCCGAGGGGCGTGTGAGTACTGATGGTGCTCAGAGAATGGGTTTGCAGCCTGCACATATCCTTTGCCTGAAGACCATCTGCGTGAGAAAGTGCCTCAGGTCTGCTTTCCCACCGCCTCGCCCACAATTGCCCTGCTCCCTCTGGAAAGGAAAGGAGCATCTTGCCCCTTCCTAAACTTTGCCCAAGGGTTGAAAGTACTGGGGTGGGGACAGTGAATGAAAAGACAACTTGAGATATTGAGGTAAGTGTTAGGAAAGGAGATAGGGCCCATGACTGGGCCACCAAGGCTTTTGCAAGTCAAGTGGTTTCCAAGGCTTCTGCTTTCAACAAAATTGAAGAACAATTTAACGGAATTGTCAGCTACTATGTCAAGAGGAGTGATTTTTTGTTAGCAGATCACCTTGAGGCTTTTGGCAAATAACTTGGAAGGAGTTCAAATGACTGTGTGACATCTAGTCCCATTTATTTATTTATGTGAGCATGGTTCCTCAACCTTTCTAGCTATTAAAAAAATGAGAATGGAATTAATGCTGAATCCTGTCTCAGTCTGGCAAGAGGTAACATTCATTAATGGATTCACTAACTAATTAAAAAGAGGTAGCCACCTCCATCTCATTGAGATGCACTCCTGGTAAGATTGATTATACTTTTGTGTTTCGCATTTATTAAAATATGATGTATTTGTGCTGTTTTGATCAATTGGTACTACTAGTAATTATTGTGATGATTTATTCCAGGGGAGAACTTAGAGTTTTCTGTTCACAGGAAAATGAAAAATCATTCAAATCTATATACGATTGTCATGGCAGATAAATACAATCAGGTGATAGATCAGGGACTTTTGAACATTAAAATGTACTAAGTAAGGCCACTCTGTGCGGGGAGTGGAAGGGAAACACAAGGTCAAGGGAAAAAGAAGCAATGTAAACACGCAACCACTAAAGCAGAGTGTTCACATTTCTTTTTTAAAGTGAATGATGAGGGGGCGCCTGGGTGGCTCAGTCGGTTAAGCGTCTGCCTTCAGCTCAGGTCAGGTCCCAGGGTCCTGGGATTGAGTCCTGCATCGGGCTCCCTGCTCAGCAGGGAGTCTGCTTCTCCCTCTGCCTGCCGTTCCCCCTGCTTGTGCTCTCTGTCAAATAAATAAAATCTTTTTGTAAAAAAAAGTGAATGATGGTGAGTATTAGGATAGCTTATCCTGTGGGGTAACGTGCAGGGCATATAATGACTTTACTAAAATATTAACATTTATAACATACCAGAAACGATACCCTTTGCAACTGTTTATAATTTTGATGAAAAAGTTCAGTATCAACTTAAAAATAAGCAAGGGAGCACATGAGTTTTTAAAATTCGTTCAGGAGATTCCCAAATGAGATATTTGAGCACCACTACCCCGGCAAATGGAGCAACGAGGCACTTTCGGTCTGGGGCTGCCTGGCAGGGGCTGGGGGAGCCCCACGTTGACTACACCGCTGGCTTCTCCTTCCAGTCTGTGCCTGGGCCCAAGGGAGAAATGAGGGCCACACACTTTCAGGGGACCAACATTCCCCAGAATCCTTGTCTTCATGGAATGGGGTTGAAGTCTCCATTCACGGAGGGGAGGGCTCATGGGGTAGGACTTGGGTCAGCTCCAGTCCCATGGTATGAAATGATTTCCTGGAGTCTGGCATGGGGAAGAGGCAGGCTCTAAAGGAGAACCACCCTGCAGCTGAATTTCTGTGCCTGTGAAATATTTTTACTATTTACTCTCACAGATTTGGGCTTTCCTGCTCTAATCCTCCCCCAGACACACGCAGGCCTGGGCTCCAGTCTGGGCCTCCAGGTGTGAAGCCAAGATGAGCAGGCAACATTGAGAGGGAAAGAGGAAGCTAGTGGACCCCCAAGGTCCCCTGCATGGGTGGGGAGCAGAGGGGTGGCAAAAATACAGGCCCGGGAGCTGGTTGTGGGGGGGGGTTGCACCTCCCTGGGGCCACTAGGAAGTAGGCCTGGGTATGTCTGTAGCTGTCGGACTTTTCATCACTAGTGTGAGCAAGTGTGGTGTGGGTCTGTTCACTGAGGTGCCTGGCACACAGTAAGTGCTTCGTAGGTGTCTGCAGAATGACTGAGGGCTCCCCTCCTTCTACACATAGAGAGAAATGAGGCTCAGAGAGGTGACATGACTTGCTCGGGGCCATGAAGAGACTCGGGGCTAAACCTGATCAAGAACCAAGGTCCCCTGATGCTTCCTGGGCCCTAGATTCTCTAGGAGATGCTGCCTCCCTGCTCTGCCCCCAGGCTGTCCTGGGCCTTGCTTTTCCCTTCCCGACCGCTGACCCCTGCCGGCAGGGCTGGGGCTCCCCTCTGGCCGGCCTCCTTTTGCCATCCCTGGTCCCCGCCTCCGCACACTCACAGGTGGCAGTCTGTGGGTCTCTGCTTCTCTCTCTTCCTCTTCCCCCTGCCCTTGGGTCTCCTCCTGCAATAAGCCAAAAGCGTCAAGACAAAGTGGCTGGGGGGCCCCCATGCTAGGACAGGGGCCGGCAGGGCCGAAAATAGCCCGGAGTCCCAGCCAGGCCACTTACCTTTCTGGTTTCATCTTCTCCCACAGAGGCCTGCGAAAACAGACAGAGAGACCAGGGGAGAGTCAGGAAACCAGTAAGTGGGGCTCCCGGCCACCCCCACATCTCTCAGACCTCCAGATTCTGGGTCCTGCAGTTAGCGCTGACACCACTAGGGGGCAGGATGAAGCCGGTGAGGCAGGGATGGCCAGAGGCCTCTGGGCTTCAGCTTCCACGCTAGGCTCTTGTGATCCCACCAAGAGAGATAGGAATCTCCTCTTGGGGCCCCTTTCCACACCCTTCTGCACTCCTCAGCCTCTTGGCATTAAGCGTGTGGACTTGTGAGTTTGTTCTCTGCTGACTTTCTCTGTTCACTTCCTTCCCTTGTACCTGCCTTTCCTCCCAGAGTGCATTGTGGGAGTTTCTGCAAGGACAGTGAGTGAGGGGCAAGGCCCTGGACTGGAGGATAGCTGCCACCAGCTGAGGCTCTGCCTGGCAGGGCACAACCGCCACCCCCACCCTGGGGATGTATGTCGCTGCAGGCAACAGCAGGGGGAGTGCGTGAGGGGGTGGAATGAAGGGAGGTGAGCGCGAGCCCCACAGTCACCAGGCGTGCCCTGGCTCAGCCTGCGGGGCTGTGGCTGGTGGCCCAGAAGTGAGAAGAAAGGTGTCCCTGTTGCCCAGCCCATTGGAAGGGGACAGGGCCTCAGTCTACCCTGGGAACAGGGTTGGGGCGTGGGCAGTGTGGTAACAGTCCGCTTTGGCGCCAGGGAATGCTGCCCTGGGTATCCCCCCTGGGAGCCAGCACGGGGCACGGCCTGGGCCAGTCAGGGCCTCTTGGACTGCCTGGTCATGTCTCTGCCATCTTGGGCCCGTAAGAGACACTCTTGGAGCCTCAGTCTCCCCAGTCTGCCTGCCCCAAAAGAGTGGTTGTGAGGGCAAAGGTGATATAGAAGGTGAAGGGTCACTGAGTGGCCCTGGGCCCAGGAGGGCTCACTACTGAACTATTGTTACATGGCTAAGCCCTGGCCAGGACGGAAGGGAGGAAATGGATTAAAGCAGGGCCTCCAACAGAGGTACAGTGAAGATGGCCTAGAGCCTGGGCTCAGGTCCAAAAGGGGTGGCCAGAGCCCCGGACAGTAGGCAGGGCAAGGCCAGGGCAGTGCTGGGTCTCCTGAAGAAGCACGAGAAAGGGCAGGCTCAGGCGTTAGATAGGCGGGGGTTCACTCACTAGCTGTGGCAAATAATTTCACTGTTCCAAGCCTCAGTTTCCTCATCTGTAAAATGGGGACAACAATAGTACCTACTACCTCATAGGGCTGTTACCAGAGGAGGGACCTTGTCTGCCTTGCTCACTGCTGTATTTAAGCATCTAGGACAGCGCCTGGCATACAGTAGGCAGTCAATAAATGTTTGTTGAATAACTGAGAAAACATTTAAGGGCCTCGTGTGGGGCTAGGCACAGAAGAGGTGCACACGATAAATAGTGGTCCTCCCCCTGTCTTCTGGCCCCAGGACAGAGCTCAGGACGTCTAGTCCGGTGCCTCCATCCATGGCCCAGGGGTACCAGGAGAGTACCAGGTTCCAGCCCATCTCTCTCCTCCCTGAGCCCGGTTAAAGTGCCGGGCCTGCTACTCCTGGTAACTAATGTTCAGGGTGCCCTGGGCAAAGGTGGCAAGACCGGTGCTGGGCAGAGTCTCCACCAGGTAGAGGCATGACTTTAAAGAAAGCCCACTGACTCCTGCTTTCTGCTGCTTTTCTCCTGCCGAGCTCATCCCTGTCCGTGCCCCTCAGTCCAGCGTCCCCTCCCCCGGGGAGCCAGCCGGGCCCAGAACGAAGTCCAGGCTAGCAATGTCTTTGCCCCACACACCTTTTCCAAGGCTGTGGCAGCTCCCTCCCATCTCAGGGAGGGGGAGAGCGCGCCCCCCGCCCCTGCACGTCTAGGAGGGACCCAGGCTTCCGCTGCCCCTAGGTGTCTGGGGCAGCTGTGCTCCAGCTGATGGGACCCCTTCCCCAGGCCAACCCGGCCCATGAGGGGGATAAAAGGCAGCTGCCGCTGCTCCCCAACTTCCCTGGTTTCTCTCGGCAGGAGGAAGGTGCAGGAGGGACGGGCAGCCGCTCGGCTGAGGTTGCCAAGTACGAAGGGCCTGTCCCAGCCGCTCCCTGAGGACCTACCTGCACTCGCAACGGATGTGCTGAGAGAACGTCAGCTCCACGTAGGAGGGCCGGTCCTCAGAGTGGATCTTCAGGAGCTTCAGGGAGAGAAGGGTTTGATGCCTGGATTGGGGGATGGCTGTGGGTTTCCAATATTCTCTCCACCCTCTCCTTTCAAGGAGGGCCAGACTCCTTGTTTCCCGCCAGCCTTTGGATGGCGTACTCTCATTCTGCTCTGAGTGGGGGGCAAACAGCCCTCGCACCTGTGTGGGGGTCTGGGGGAGGCCCTGCCCTGGAGTCAGAGAGACCTGTGTGCCATCTTGGTTCTTCTACCTGCTGAGCAAGTGAAAGAGCAGCTCTGACCCTCAAGCTCTTCCTCGGTGCAACGTACATAACACTTGCCTTGAGGGACTGAATGTTGAGGTAACAGAAGTCACATTTATGAAGTGCCTTGCGCAGGGCTCAGCCTCACTAGCAAGGGCTCAATAAACCAGAGTGTGTGTGTATGTGCGCGCGCGCGTGTGTGTACATGAGCGCGGAGCCCAGGGTGTCAAATGCTCCTGGTGCACACACACACAGGGACTTCTTGAATCCGAACAGTCTTCTTTTTCCAAGCTCAACCGGATATCCTTGGGTCTCGGGGTGGGACCAGGCTAGAGCCCGGGAAAGCTGGTACCGCAGGACGTGAGTGGGCTCCACACTGGACCGGGGGCGGGGGGGCCGTGCAGGGGGAGCGCGGCGCCGCGGCGGGGGCTGGTGGGGAGAGCCGGGGGCCCGGGAGTCGGTTCCAGTCCCCGTGATCAGGACCGCGGCCTGCCCGCCTCCCGGCCCGGGCGCCTACCTGCATGGTAACATTGACGGTCTCTGCGGGCACACAGTGCAGATTCTCGTCACCACAGCACCCGGCGCAGCGCAGCAGGGAGACGCAGGATGGGCTGAACATGTGCTCCACCTCGCCGGGGTACTCTGACACGATGTCCACCAACCTCTCCAGTGCCCGGCAGTAGCTGCGGCCCCACACCTCCTGGAAGGGCACCACTACAAGGAGGCACACACGGCCGGGTCGGGCCCCAGTCCCTGCTCCCCAGGCCCTGCAGGCCCTGCAGGCCCTGCAGGCCCTTGCAGGTTCAGCCCACGCTCCCTCCTCCAGGAAGCCCCCAGCCTCTGTGAGCTCCCTATGCTCGGAACCCCTGACACGAGGCCTCTGGGGTGACTGCCGGCCGCGCAGCTCATCTGCTGCACAGAAATCCCAGAGCCGTGGAGTTGCTCCGTGTCCGGGCTCTCCACTCTGTTCTCTGCGCAGGCACTCACATCGGCTTTGCTGCCCTTGGGGCTTGGAGGAGCGTGTCTTGGCAGCTCCTCGGGCCCTCTGGGTCTTTCTCAGGCCTGATCGAGTGCTTTTTCGATCGTGGGGAATTTGCAGAAAGCAGTCAGTTCAGCATGACTGGCTTGTAGAGTCCCACAGGAAGGGTTAGCCTTCCCCTTAGTCCTCATTTGCTGCCCCGCTCTGAGCCAGCTCCTCTACCTGGCAGCCAAGGCTACAGCCAGCAATGTGCCCCGAACCCACTCTCCGTATCCACCACCGTCACACCATGCCCAGCTGCATCACTGTAACTCCCACCTTTGGGATATGCTCCGTGTCCCCTTCCCTTTTCTAACCAAATAAAGCCCACCACCCCACCTCCTCTCTGAAGCCTTCCCCAACTTCCCCAGTCTGAACAATGTTCCTCCTTGCAGCAGAATTTGGCCCCTAGGGCTTTGCCCTATCTCGGCCACTAGTAGATCTTTTATCTCCTCTACAACCAAGTCGAGGCTCTGTGAGGACAGGAGCCCAAGCACCCTGGGGAACACAGGCTAAGTAATGACTGATTGGTTAGATGATAGTTCACTGGGACTTATCACAGACACCCCTGACCCCTTCTAGGTCCTGGTGTGGTCATGACCAGGATCTCGTGCGGGCTGATCTGGAATCTCTCAAAAGATGCTGCTCCTTCACGGAAAGGCCTGGGGCCTGGTCCCAAACAGAGCCTCATAGGAAGTGAGTAGCTAGGAGCTTCTAGTTCTGGCCCTATCCTGGGCTGTATGACCTTGGGGAGGTCACTTAACCTTTCTGGGTATATCAGTTTCCTCAGCCAGGGGAAAACAAAAAGGTTGGGACTAGATGGTTGCTAAGGCCTCTCTCAGCTCTGACGGTCTGGGATTCTGTGCGTGCAGCCCTGCCCAGCCTTGAGACTGTGGGCAGAGAGACCTCTCTCACACTGGGTCATCCTGCCCTATACCTGACAGTTGTCCTCAGCTGATGGGGGAGGATAGGGCAGCTGGATCACCTGGGGACCCCACAGCCTCTGTCCCAGAGCCGTGGCCTCTCCTGACAGCCCCTCACTTCTCCCCACGGCCTTTCCTAAGAGACAGAAGGGCCAAAGTCCATTCCACTGAGCCTGCAATGCCTAGTCTCAGGGTAATCTTAGAGGAAAAATAAACTTCAGCCCTAACAGAGGCCCTCTGGAAAGGGCTGCAAGCTGGTGGAAAATACCCAAGAGGTGGTGTGTCCCCGTGGAGCTGGCCAAGGCAGCCACAGAGGCAATAAACCACGCTTATCTGGGTGTCTGCCGCTCCATTCCGCCCTGTCTGCTTAGGGGGTACTAGGGGCTGGGCCTGGGGACCCGCGGGGTGCCAGATGCCTCCCCTGGTCCCACCTCTCCAGGCCACAGGGATACTGTCCCTGGACCCAAGTGGGAAACAAACCCCTCTCCCTGTGAGCAGCCACGGTGCCCTGGGGAAGCCGTCCTGTGCGGTGAGAGGCTGGAGGAGCCCGTCCCTATTTTAACTGCAGGAGCGCGTGTTCAGTCTGAAATCCACGAGCACTGCGGAACTTGGAGTGTTTAATCTCCGCCACGGACAACACAAATAACAGCAGAGGGACAGCCAGCTGCCAAAGCGCCATGGAAAGCTCAGGCCCCTGCTCTGGGACCAGTCATGGGGAGGGGGGCGGTAAGCAGCAGAAAAGGGGCACCTCAACCCCCTCCCATTCTCCACACGGACCCCCACCCAGCTGGGTTGGCAGGGCCACAGCCAGGTCAAGTAGAGCTGCCTGGGTTTGGTGGCAGAATGGATCTCCTTTCCTCACCCCACACCCTGCCATGCTCCAGGGCCCCGGAATCTGCCACTTTGTGGGCCACATGGCCAGACCGTGTGCGGAGGAGGAGGGGGAGAGGGCCAAGAAGGAGGCGGGCTGGGCCCGGTTTACCTGGCGGCCACCAAGAAAAAGGGCAATTCATCCCTGGAGGCCACAGTCTGGGCATGTGGGAGAAACAGAGCGGGCTGTGAGGGGCTGGCTCCCAGAGCACGGGGACTGCTCCCAGATGGAGGCTGAGCCCCTCAGGAGAGAACCCTGCTCAGCAGCTCCTGAGAGCACTTCCTCTGGCCCCAGACCTGCTCCAGAGGCAGGGTGAGGTAAGAGGAACTGGAGGCCGTGGCTCCATCAGGCATCTGGCCGGGGCTGGCCAGTTCCACAGGCTGCTGCCGGGGCCTCAAATGGGCTCTCCGCAATCTCTCACCAGCTCTAGGGGCAAGCCTCCCATCCCGCTCCAGCTGCCTACTACCCAGGACAGAGGAATCGAAGGAAGGGAAGTGTTTAATCCTGAGAGCAAGCTCCTAGGGAGGGGCCACAGGGCGGGGCGGAGCCACTGGCCACCAGGCTGGGTTCAACAGGTGTCCCCTCCATGGCACTGGCAGGGCACACAGCCAGCCTGCCGAAAGGGACATCCTGCTCATGCTTGCTCAGCTGTGAGCCACAGGGAGGCCTGGTGCTATGCACACCGACTTTGCCACATATACTGAGGTGCGTCTGAGGCTTTAGGGGACCCCAAGGGCCTCTCTGAGCCTCAGGTTCTCCTTCTATAAAAGGTAGAGCATACGAATGCCCTCCCAGTTCACAGCCTGTGGGCAGCTCAGAATTGCAGTAAATGCCCAATGCTAGTACCATGAATAGTAATAGTAAAAATCAACGTCCATGGCTGCAAAGTACAGAGCATGCTGTCTCTTGTCTGGTGTTAGCGAGAGGGGATGGCATTTCCATATTGTGGTGACTGCGGTCCCAAACTCATGGTACTTGCCCTGGCCACAATACAGATCCCTGACTGATTGGGATGACAGGTGAGCTGCCCTAACGAACTGACATGTCTAAGCCTCCTCACCCCTGTCCCTGGGAGACATATACTCCTGTGTCTCCTCCACAGAGTCAGAGCAGCACACAATCTTAGAAAAAGAACCTTGGATATCATGTAATCTAATATTCCCATTTTACAGATGAGGAAACAGAGGCTCAGACTTCTTTGGTAACTGTTGCCTGAAATACACTAAAAGCATCAAAGAGGCCATGGGGTGGAGATGGCTGATGGGCCCCTCTTCAAATCCCGAGAGCATGATATTGTGCCAGTCCCAGGGGGTACAACAGGGAGAGGGGGAGAGTGTCAGTGAAGTTAAGGGCTGCTACCTCCCCCGCCTTCTCAGTGCACAAGGGGCCTGGGACTCCGTGCCCGAGGGGCCTGGGACTCCGTGCTCGAGGGGCCTGGGACTCCGTGCCCAAGGGGCCCAGAAGCATAGCCAGGCCCAGGAGAGGTTGGCCACCAGGTGGGCAGGGCAGCAGAGGGAGGGTGTTCCCGCTTTCGGAGGCTATCACGAGTGTGCGTGTGCACGCCCCTACACGCTCCCTCTCCCCACGGCACGATAGGAAGCCTCAATAGTGGTGTGTGGCTTTGCTGCACGTCCCAGAGAGGCAGGGAGGGAGGAGCGAGGCAGGGGGCCTGGCATGGGACTCCTGCCTTCTGCACGTATGTCTCTTTGGCAAATGACACACCCTTTGAAGATTCCCTCTTGATGCAACCCAGGGTGGGGAGTGGAGGGGCCTGGGAGGGCAGGACTCATGTTCTGTTTGTAATCAATGGAAAGGCCTGGTCAGATCCCCGCAGCTCCACCAGGGCTGGGCTTCTGGGAAGGTCCCCTCACCCCTCCCTAATCCTCCTGACTGCTTGCCCACTGCAACCAGCTCCCAGACCCCTAGTGCAGCCCCTAGCTCTCACTGCCTGCACTGCCCTCCGAGAACCCACCTGCCTCCTTACATCACGTTGGGAAGGGGCTCCAAGCCAACTGGACGAACCCTGGGTATACTGGCCCCAGCCTCGCTCTCTGTAGGCTCGGTGACCGTGGCCCAGGAACACACCTCACTAGGCCTCTAGGTCCCAATAGAAGGATCTCTCAGGTCCTGCCAACTTTGTCAGCCAGGATGTCAGCCGGCTTGCAGACTCTCCTGAACTTCCTATCAGCCCGTGCCCATCCTTGATGCCAATCCCTTCTTATTCTGTGCAGAGGACTGGGAGGAGCGGGTTTGGTGAGCATGTGCACCCCCAGCCCAGTGTGCTTACCTTCCACCTCTGATGAGCCATTCCCAGCAGACAAGGCCCAGTGCTGCGGACAGAAAGGGGCAGAGGTGAGGGGGGTCCACCTGGGGCCTCTGCACTCCGTGGCCGAGTTGGCGAGAGGGCAGAGGCCCTTCTGAGCTCCTTGCCACCCACTGCCCACACTCTGCCCTGTCTCAGAGCCGCCTCTTTCGGAGCGCAGCTAAAACCTCCCTGGACCCGGATGGATCCCATCCCTCTCTCTGGCCTCAGTTTCCTCATTTGGAAAGAGTGGGAGGCTAGAGGATTTGGGAGACGCTTTGCCTTGTGTCTCAAAGATCTTGCAATCCTTCGGGGTCTCCCTTCTCCCCAGCCCCAGGCCAGCCCTGCGGGCCCCTGTGCAGCACGCCTTGGCTGGGCGCCAGAGCTCGGGGGAGGTGATCAGCTGGTGGGAGCTGAGGGGCTGGAGCCGGTGGCGCCAGGAGCTGGTCCTGCGGGTGAGGTTACACCTCTGGCCAGCCCCACAGCGGACAGGCAGAGGCAGGGAGGTAGTGGGGCTCTTCCGTCCCGCAGGTCTGCCCAGCCCACCCGCTCCTCGGTTGGAGCTGGAGACTCCTGGGGCAGCAGGACAGTGCAGTGGAAGGGATCTCATTGGCTTTGTCAGGATTTCACTGCCCAAGCTGGCTCCCAGCCAGACTCACCCGGCTCCTGGGAAAAGGGCCCTGCTCGCTTCCCCAGGCCCTGCACGCAGGAACTGCGACTGCCCACCCGGGGAAAGAGGGCACAGCAGGACCTCTTGTCTCACCCGCAGCCCACCCAGAAGCCCTGGGCTCACCCAGAGCCGCGGTGGGGGCAGGGCCCAGCCTCCCCACCAATGGCCTCTTCAGCTGGCTTCCCCACCACCAGGCCAGGTCAGAGGTCCTGGGGGCGCCTGCCTGGTCATGGGGCCCCGACCCTGACCACAAGGCCAGGGACCTGCCAGGGATTAGTGCAGAGATGCTTTTAGCAAAGCCACCAGGGCTCCAGGGGCCAGACAGGAAACCTCCCTCCCTTCCCTGTGGCTTCCCTGCCCCCGCCAAGACAGACCCCGGAGCTGGAGTCTGGGACAGCCCAGCCTGAGGTCTCCTCCCGGAAGACGTGGTCCAGCCTGGCTCCTGGGAAGTATGTGGACATCCATGGAGGTGCCGCTCCCCCGAGGGGGTCTGTGATTTCAGAACCCCTGCCTCGAGTGCTGGAGGCTGGGAAGATTAGGGGGGCCAGGCTGGGGTTGGGATAGGTCTTACCTGGGGGGGCACAGCGGGCAGTGCCAGCCCAGCCAGGAGCTGCAGGAAGCAAGTGAACAGCCTCATGGCAGGCATCTTCTCAGACGTCCCAAGCCAGGAGGGTCCAAGGGAAAACCACCATGCTCGGCCCCCTGGGGGAGCTCCTGGCACAGGAGGAGAGGACCTCACTGCTGCCCCGAGGTCCCCGCAGGTGGCTTGAGCATCCTCTGGACGCCCCAGGAGCCTGGAGCCCGCAGGCAGGGCTGGGGCCGGGGCACCTGATGCGGAGCGCCCGGCGAGGCGGGGCGGTGTGGGGCAGGCGGGTCCCTGGGGAGGGCCCGTCGGGCGCCCAGCGCGACCCCAGGGCCTCTCTTGGCTGGCCAGTGGAGACGCAGTCTCCTCTTCAGACTGCAGCTCCCTTCTGGGACTGCAGCCTGTTGGCGACTGGGTTTCAAGGGCCGTGAGTGGGGCGGGGCTGCAGGCCCGCCCCGCCCACCGTCGACGAGGCCTGGGAGCGGCCGAGCGCCTCGCGGGGCTGGGGTGGCGGCGGCGGCGGCGGCGGCGGCGCGGACCCGAGCGCGCCCGAGCGCGCCCGGGCCGCAGCGCGCGGAAGGGACGCCCCCCACCCAACCCCACCCACCCCTCGTCCCCCGCCGCTGCGGCTCCCGCCCCACCGCCGCCGCCCAGCCCGCAGCTGCCCCCGGGGCCGCCGTGACCTACTCGGCACCCAGTGCCGACCCGCAGCGGGGCGGACGGCTGCGCTCCCGCTCCTCTAGGCCGGCGTGAGTGCGGGCAGCCGGGTGGTGGACCCCAGTGTTTGCCACGAGGCTCCTGACCTTAGCGGCCCCTGCAGAAACTGCAGCTGCAGAACCCTAGGAAGGCAGCAGTGTGCCACCTATGCCATCCCACAGTCCTCAGGGGTGAAAGGAGGGTTTTATAGATCTTACAGATGAAGAAACCGAGGTTCCCAGAGTGCCCCTGCCTGTGTATGGGGTACATACATAATGCACTCTTGAAAAGGATGTGCTTGTGTGTCTGTGTGTTTTTGAGGAACTGACAGAGACAACACACAAGCGTGGGCTCCAGAGCCGCCTCGCCACCCTAGGCATACTTCTGGCCAAGCACGCAGACAGCAGGGCACCCCACACCTGGCTGAGGGTCCAGCACCATTTTCTCCTGTGGGAAGCGGCTTTCTCAGGCTGCCACATGTAGTTTGGAGAGTGGCCTAGTGCCGCATTTCTTCCCTGTCCCAGGAGAAGGAGGAAATGCTCTAACTCGGCAGGGGTCTGCCTCTAGGGGTGTGTGTGTGGGTGGGGCTGTGTGGGTGTGCATGTGTATGGGCATTTGTGTGTGACTGTGGAGGTCCACGTGTGCCATGAGTCTATGTGGTCTGAGTGTCTATCTGTGTGTGTCTGCTGTATGTTCAAGTGCGGCTTGTGTGTGGGTCTGGCCTCTCAGCATCTCTGTATGCTTGTGTGATTGTGTGTGTATGTGTCCGCTGTGTCTCTAGGTGTGTTTGCAAGTGTGTCTGAATGTGCATTTGAGTGGGACTGTGAGTCTGTATGCCTGCCTATGTCTTTGTGTGTCTTTCTGTGTGGGTGACTATCTGGACTGGCTTCCGTGTAAGACTGTGCATCTCTGGGCATTTGTGTGTGTCCTCCTGCAGTCCTTGCGCGTTCGTCACCCCCACTGCCCTCCCTGCACAGCCCCCTGGCTGCAAGAACCTGGCAGGAGTCAGGGATTGGCCTGAGCCTGGGGCCGGTGGGCGCCGTGGGAGAGGGGGAGGCCTGGGAGGCAGCCCCTACCGCTCACATTCCAGCCAGGAGCAGAGAGGCCAGGGCAGCCCCAACTCTCACCCCAGTGACCTCTGTGTCCATTGCCTGCCTGCCCACCCACGCGGGCCTGCCAGAGAGGCTGCCGCCCTGCCTGGCCAAGCCTGGAGGTCCAAGAGCCAGGGGCCAGTCATCGGCCAGCTAAGCGGGGGCTGCAAAGAACATTCCGACGAGCTCCAACATGCTAGGGCTCGTGGAGCAGACAGACTCCTTCCTGGGCCCAGGGTCATGGTAGAGGGTTGTCTGGGCATTGCTGTGTATGTGTATGGGGGAGAGTAGATGTGTGTTTGTGCATATCTCGATCACGTATGTTCGCCCACAACATCTGTGTATGCGTAGTACATGCGTTTATGTGTGTCTTTATTTTGGATTTGGATTTGTGTATCTGGGCACTGGTGTATGTTGTGCATGAGTATGTGTATTTAAATATCTGTATTGTATCTGCTTGTCTGTAACTGAAGGTTTTGAGCACTTATGCATTGGGCATGTTTGCCTGTGACTGTGTATGTAGAGTCGTGCATATATTGTTTATGTGCATGTGTTTGTATTCATTCATTTTTTCATTTGACGCAAACTGCTTCAGCCCTACTGTGCTTTAGGCACTGCCCTGGGTGCATGCGGTGCAGAGGTTCCCTCAAAGTTTCTGTTCGTGGGGGCTGGTACAGATGGCTGAGGCGTCTCCTCTCTTTCTACACTCTTGAATGAGCTCAATACCTGAACAATGTCCGTGGTTCCCACAAGTGGGCCTGTTCTGTCACTAACCTGGGGACCATAGGCTTCTGAACCTGGCTTCTTGCGCCATGAGATGAAATAGCTAGGGTAGGCTGGGGGCCGAAACCAATGAGACCCAACATTTCCATGGGTTAGATAGAAGCCTACTCTTGTTCACATCCAGTCCAGGGCAGGTGTGCTGGTGGCTCTGCCCTCCTGAGCTGCGAGTCCAGTCCTTACTGGCCATATAACCTAAAGTCACTTCCTCTACTTCTCAGAGCCCCCACTGCCTCCATCCAAAGTGGGAATAATAACAGTCCTCTTACTGATCACCTGACTTCTGATTCAACTTTTGATTCTTACTAGAGATACAAAAACACTCCAGTTACAGAGCAGAGTCCTTGCCATCATGGACATGAGACAGATAGAAAATAAAGAATTGTATGCTTCTGCTAACTGCAAGGAGCAAACGATGGAGGGAGGTGTGTGTGCGCACAGCCTCCTCCACCTCCCGTGCCCCCATATCCTCACCATCACCATCCAGGCGGTCAGGTCCCAGCTGTGATCGAGGCCTTCAGAGCAGATCCACTAGCAGAGTCAACGCCACAACTCCACACTGACCTGTTTATCGTCGCAATCATTTGTTGGTGTTGCAGGGAGAGAGATGACATTTAGTGAGCACTTATGATGGGCCAAGCACTGTGCCTGGCGCTTGAGTCACTTCAACTTGGATGAATTCCACCACAGCCCTGGGAGGTAGTTTTAATTATTCTCATTTTGAAGATGGGAAGATGGAGGTGCAGGGAGTTTAAGTAATTTGCCCATAGTCATTTACTACTAGAGAAGCGACGAGATGAGGGTCAACCTAGGTCTTTCTCCAAGCTCTTTCCAGTGAGCATAAGATGTCTCTGCCAACCAGATTGCAAATACCTTGAAGGTAGGGTCCATGTCTTGAACCTTTTCTGAGTCTTCCCCTTGCCGGAGCAGAGTGGGTGCCTGACAGACTCTGAAAGTTTGATGTGTGGGATGGAGAAGCCCTCATCCCAGGCCTGGAGCTGACTCTGTCACAGGGAGTCAGGAAAATATAGGTAAAAACAAGGGTCTAGGCCATGGAAACACTGTTTGGGCCACGACAATAGTCACCCTGAGCAGCTGTGGGGTCTAGACCTGCATGCCAGGCTGCCAGGCCAGCCCCTTCCTCCCAAGGCTGCCCCAAAACACCCAGCTTCCCACACCTTGCATTAGTCATGGTTTTAGCCTGAAACACCTGCCTCAACCCATCCCAATTTCTTGTCTTTCAGCTTCCTGACTCATTTTCCCATTTTGGCCTAGCCTCTTCATTGTCTTGACCCTCTGAACTATTTCCCAACTATGACCTTTTCCTAATCCCTTGATGGCAATTCAGCATCTGCCTCTGGAGCACTGTCCCTGAGCCCTAGACCTGGGTATGGCCAGAGGTGGGTGAGAAGTAGAGTATCCAAGGGCTAGAATCTCTCCTTTCCTGGCTGGCAGGGACAGCAGTAGTGGGGAGCTGGGGCCGAGGGCCTTTCTACTTTATAGGCTGGATGAGCTGTAGCCACCAGCTAGCCAAGTTCATCAGCTGGAAGCTGCCTGGTTGGCCTTCTCCACCTTCTCCTCCTCCCCTCGGGCTGGGATTTCCTGTGGGCCCACCCCAGCCTTAACACTGAGCCCCTTTCCTTCTCTCCACGCACTTCTTCGGGGCGGGCTGTGATGGTCTGGCGGGCCACCACTGCTGGGTGAGACGCTCCTCATCCAGCACCCAGCACCCAGCACCTTGAATTGCTTCTCCATCGTAGCACCTGGCCGTCAGTCTCATCACTGCCCAGCTACTTATCTGTCTTCCCTCAGACTGTAGGTCTGAGGGAAGACAGACACTTGCTCACCCTTGGATCGCCAGCACCTTGTCCAGTGTCTGGCACACAATAAGGGCTTAATGTTTGTTGAGGTGGATCACTCCTCCAAGCACTCTCTCCTCTCCCCACAGGGACTATGTCCCAAGTCTGCTCATTCCTTACCCAATTGTCCTTCAGTCTTCAGAGGTAGCCCTCCTAGACCCCATGCCCAAGACAACTTGGGTGGGCCTCTCTGGTAGGGGCAAGTGTGGGAGGACAACCTCCCATTACTATGTAATCACGCCCTGGGTTGGTCACCACAGCCCCACCAGCCCCCAGGGGACAAGGCTTATGCTTCTGGCCAGAGACCAGAACCTAGTGGGGGGCCTGGGGTGGGGTCAGGTTGGAAAGGAGACAAAAGTAGAGCCCACGGGTGACCAAGTGGTTCCCGGGGGGGGGGGGGGGGGAAACAAGATGGCACCAGCCATAAGGGCTGTGAACAAGGGAAACCAGGCAAGGTGCCCGCCGCCTTGTCCCAGGCCTTCGGGGCGACGCGTCGTCACCAGAGGATCGGAAACCTGTACTTTGGGAACTTGGCAGCCAGGGCTGGGTTTTTCGTGTTTTCTGTAATTATTTCCCTTTTGTTCTCTCTTAGTATTTAGTAAAGCCCTTTGTGAAAATGCCAGCTGGTCTCAGCTGTGCTAAGAGGATGACAAAGGGGTCCTCTGTGCGTGCTTGGCCCTCCACTTTAATGGAGGGACCTTGCTTAGTGGTGACAGCAGAGTCAAGGACCACCAAGGGCAAAGGGAGGCTCCGGGGCCACAGCCAGCACCTCGTGTTCAGCAGCCTCTCTGACGCTGAGCCTCCTTCCCGGTCCCAGACGGGGCTTTATTGAAACCAGAGGGGCTGGAGGGCTGGCCAGCCACGGCTGCTTTGAGGGAGGGCATTTGTGTGGATCCTGGTGGTGTCCAAAGCTCTCG